TTGGGCTATTGTTGTTGTGTTTTTCCCCCTAATAAAAGGATTCTAGGTGAAAATAATAAACAGAAAATTTCTCAACTAAAAAAAAAAAAAAAAAACCGAAATGTCCTGGTGAGGGAAGCAGGAAGCCAGTGATCCCCATTTAACAGAAAAAAAAAAAAAAAAAAAGCAACTGAAGTACCTAGAACCTCTGAATTATTAAATAATTAAATAATTATTTATTTAATAATTTAATCTAGCACTTTCTATGTGCCAGAAACTGTTTTAGCCACTTTAAAAATATTAACTCATTTCATCCTCATAAAAGCCTTATGAGGTAGTTACTATTAGTACCACTTTTTTACAGGAAATTGAGGTACAGAAAGGTGAAGTAACTTGCCCAGAGTCACCCAGCTAGTAGATAACAGAGTCAGGATTTGAACCTCAGTGTTCTGGCGGCACAGAATGCATTCTTACCCTGTGCTGCTGCCTCAGTGGGTATGGCTTGAGTTTCCGTGGTCCTGGATTACTAATTCCATTTGGTTCTGGACAAGGTGTGTGTTTAGTCCCCTCCCAAGTATAATATCTGTTGTGCAGCCTTTAAAGCTGCCTGAGAGGCCCTGAAGACCAAGGAGCTCAGTCCAAGGCCTGGATCATTTCCCTGGAACAGGTTATGAAGGCACCAAACCAGATGTGATCCTCAGGCTGGAGCAGGAAGAAGCACCATGGATTGGTGAGGCAGCATGCCCGGGCTGCCACTGTTGGGGTAAGTGTAATAAATCTAGCAAAAGGGGTACTGAAGGAGGCTGGCACCTTTGGAATTTTGTTCAGCGTTCTTCTCTTAAAAGCCTTGACATTCCTCCGAGAACTTCAGCCACATTAATGCCTCTTTAACCTCCATGCAACCCCAACGCCTGAATCTGAGTGTTTTTCTCAGCTCTACTTGATTGCACCTCTGTCCTTATGTGCTCGGTCCATCTCTCTTTCTCCAGAATCTTTCACATGCAGGTATTCTTACAAATAAAAGCTTCTATGATTCTCCTGTTCCTGCTTCCTATTCTGCGTTCTGACACTTTCCAGATGAAATGCTTCAGAGCTACCTGCTTTCCCTAATTTCTGCACTCAAATTTAAATCACTCCCATAGACAGATGACTGTGGGATCAGAGAAGAGGAAGCGGTGAATTCCATGTTGGGGTGGGGAGGTGTGAAGGAAATGCCTGAGCTGGGCCCATCTTAACCACTGCTGATTAACACTCAGACTCACTGCCCCTCTCCCTTCAGCTCTGAGACATTCCAGCAATGCCCATGGTACCCTGAGGGTTGATGGATGGCCACTCTTAGGGATGCCTCGGAACTTCTGCTTCTGGCACGCTCTGGCGTGTGTTTCTCCATTAAAGTGTGCTCTTCAGCCGTCCTGAGACTGTGGTATCCTGGTTATCAGTTGCCCTGCTTTTCTTTTCTTCTTCTCTTCTGAAAATTTCATAACTGCAAATTCCACAAGAATGTATCTAGTCAGCCTCTGTTTTTCCAACTGCTCTGTTATTATCTATTTCCCTGGCTCAAACCCAGCATTTTCCTTCCAAGGAACGATTGCATTTCTGTTTTCCATAACTTGGTTCTCTTTCCAGTGGTGTAACCCTCTCAAAGAACTCACCCATTCTGAGAGTACATGATTCTCACAACCAGCCTCTTTGCCGTGTTGGCCCCTTTCTCCCCCTTGCTCTGCCCAGCCCCGCATTTAACCAGTCTGTGGACTACACTACAGGTGTGCACTTCCCCTGTTCTTTGTGTGTCAAAAACGAAAATCGTCTTCATTTGTCCTTGGTACCCCTGCCACACACTCACCCTCACACACACACACGCACACACACACACCACTTCATCTTGCTTTTTATTTCAGAGCTTTGCTACCGTGTGGTCATTTTGAATCTTCTGCCTTTACCACTCACTCTAACTGTTCCATTCATATGTGTGGTTTTGTTGATTTTTTTTTTCTTCTGAGAAATGGCTTTAAATCTTCCTCACTGCCTTTTTTTTTTTTTCTTTTTGAGACAGGGTCTCACTCTGTCACCCAGGCTGAAGTGCAGTGGCATGATCATGGCTCACTGCAGCCTCGACCTCCCGGGCTCAAGCGATCCTTCCACCTCTTAACTTCCCGAGTAACTGGGATTACATTCGCGCTACCACACCTGGCTAGTTTTCATATTTGTTTGTAGAGAAGAGGTTTTGCAATGCCGCTGAGGCTGGTCTCAAACTCTTGGGCTTAAGCAGTTCACCTGCTTCAGCCTCCCAAAGTGCTGGAAATACTGGCATGAGCCACCATGCCCAGTCCTTCTCCACTTTTTTTTTTTTGCAGATGAAATTTCGTTCTGTCGCGCAGGCTGGAGTGCAGTGGCGCCATCTCAGCTAACTGCAACCTCCGCCTCCTGGGTTTAAGCAGTTCTTCCTCAGCCTCCCCAGTAGCTGGGATTACAGGCACATGCCACCACGCCCGGCTAATTTTTGTATTTTTAGTAGAGATGGGGTTTCACCATCTTGGCCAGGCTGGTCTTGATCTCCTGACTTCATGATCCACCCACCTTAGCCTCCCAAAGTGCTGGGATTACTGGCGTGAGCCATCGCGCCTGGTCCCACTTTTAATTTTCCCCTGCTATCTCCTAAAATCAGACCTAGATTATCTCATGACTGAATATATTTAAGTGAGGGGTTACTAATTATTTTTGTGCCATGGACTTCTTAGGCATTCTTTTGAAGGCTGTAGACCTCACTTCTATGTATAAAAATACAATAAAATTCATAAGATTATAGAAAATAGTTATCAAAATATTTTCTTCTTTTTTTTTCTTTTTAGATGGAGTTTTGCTCTGTTACCCAGGCCGGAGTGCGATGGCGTGATCTTGGCTCACTGCAGCCTCCACCTCCTGGGTTCAAGCGATTCTCCTGCCTCAGCCTCCTGGGTAGCTGGGACTATAGGCATGTGCCACTACACTCAGCTTATTTTGTATTTTTAGTAGAGACTGGGTTTCACCATGTTGGTCAGGCTGTTCTCTGACTCCTGACCTCAGATGATCCACCTGCCTTGGCCTCCCAAAGTGCTGGGATTACAGGTGTGAGCCACCATGCCCGGCTTCAAAATGTTTTCAAAATGTGCAATATAATAGTACATGTACTTTTTTATTTATACATTAATGAGACCTAACATCAGGTCTAATAACTATCATGATCTCAAAGAAGAGATGATTATAAATATAATAATGTGACCTGAAAATAACAATATTCACAAACTAGTATCAAGTCACAGGAAGTGCTGATACTACTGTGTTTTGTTGCTTACATTCATAGTCAAAGGAATTGTTCAACTGTAGTTGGAACTCAGTGAAAACAAAAATGTAATTTCTATCAAAGTTCACAAGCCCGCTGATTTCTGCCTACCAAGTTAAGAACTCTTGCTTAACTTTTAGTTAGCTTTGTTGACTTTATTTTTTAATCTGGTTCGCCTTAGAGTGCTTTGCCATTTATATTGTAACTAACTAGCCCAATATGATACACCCTTGGATGACCGCTATACCAGTGCTTGTTAAACTCCAAGGTGTTTGGAATCACCCGGGCATCTTGTTAAAATGCAGATTCTGATTAAGTAGGTCTGGGGTGGGGCCTCAGATTCTACACATCTAACAAGCTCCAAATAAGGCCAAAATTGCCACTTGAAAACCCACATGCCGGACAGCAAGGTACTGTATAACAGTTCACCTTCTTTCTTCTATAACAGCGATCAGCAAACTATGGCCTGCCGATTGGCCACCTGCTTTGTGAATAAAGTTTTGTTAGAACACAGCCACATTCTTATGTTTACGTATCGTCTATATTTTCATGGTATGGTGGGAGAGTTGAGTCATTGCGACGGAGACCATATGGCCCACAAAGCCTTTACTTTCTGACCCCTTAAGAATAAGTTTGCCACCCTCTGCTCTGTAATATCCTGTTTTCTTTGAAATTATTGGTCTCTGTACTCTATGGTACATTGTATTCCATTTGTGCCAGTGTTCAGAATCCTCTTTCCTCATAGAACACTCTTCCCTGCATTTGTGCTTTGGGTTATGGTTCACGTTCTCTATTTGTGTGCTGTGCACTCTTTAAATTTTGAGAGCATTTCTCAAGTAGTATGAAGTTTCATAAGGATGATTCACTGTACTTTCTCCAGAAGACATCTGGCAAGTTAATATCCAGAGGAAAAGACGGCAAGACATGCTTTTGAGGCAAGGCGCAGCCATAAGCAAGAAAACACTGCCCAAGGAAAAAAGCCGTGAATATAGTAAGTTTGGGAAAATATCACTTCTGAGCACTGACCTTTTTTCTTCAATCCAGAGCCCTAACAACTGGAACCCTTGTGGAAAGAATTTGAACCATAATTTAGACTTGATTGGTTTTAAGAGAAACTGTGCAAAAAAGCAAGATGAGTGTTATGGTTATGAGAAATTGCTTCAGCGTATACACCATGGTAGACGACCGAATGGAGAAAAGCCCTGGGGTTGCAGTCACTGTGAGAAAGCTTTCACCCAGAACCCGGCACTTACGTATAAACCAGCAGTAAGTGATTCTCTCGTGTACAAACGGAAGAGGGTTCCACCTACAGAAAAACCCCACGTCTGTAGTGAGTGTGGGAAAGCCTTCTGCTACAAGTCTGAATTCATTAGGCATCAGAGAAGTCACACTGGGGAGAAGCCTTATGGCTGCACTGACTGTGGGAAAGCCTTTTCACATAAGTCAACCCTCATCAAACACCAGAGAATTCACACTGGGGTAAGACCCTTTGAATGTTTCTTTTGTGGGAAAGCCTTTACCCAGAAGTCACACCGCACAGAACATCAGAGAACACATACAGGAGAGAGACCCTTTGTCTGCAGTGAATGCGGGAAATCGTTTGGTGAGAAGTCATACCTCAATGTACATCGAAAAATGCACACAGGAGAAAGACCCTATCGTTGCAGAGAATGTGGAAAATCCTTCAGCCAGAAGTCCTGCCTCAATAAACATTGGAGAACTCACACAGGAGAGAAGCCCTATGGGTGCAATGAATGTGGGAAAGCTTTCTACCAGAAGCCAAACCTCAGCAGACATCAGAAAATTCATGCTCGGAAGAATGCCTACAGGAATGAAAACTTAATAATTGTGGGAAATACTTGAGCAAAATATCTGGTTTCATGGTATGTAGGGAATCTATCCTTAGGAGAAATCTTAATGAATTCATTTTAATGAATTTGGACAGTGTATATGTGTGTTTGCTTTTTTTTTTTTTGAGTTGGATTCTCTGTTTCCCAGGCTGGAGTGCAATGGCACTATCTCGGCTCACTGCAACCTCTGCCTCCCAGGTTCAAGCAATTCTCCTGCCTCAGTCTCCCAAGTAGCTGGGATTACAGGCACCTGCCACCACACCTGGCTGATTTTTGTATTTTTAGTAGAGATGGGGTTTCACCATGTTGGCCAGGCTGGTCTCAAACTCCTGACCTCGTGATCCGCCTGCCTCAGCCTTCCAAAGTGCTGGGATTACAGATGTGAGCCACCACACCCAACTGACAGTGTTTTATCATAATGGAAATCATGATCTAATTATGATACAAACTTTTCTGGAAAATACTTTATAAAACATAAGCATGGTCACCCTGGTATGTAAATGTTTAAAAATGTATTAAATGGAATAACAACAGAAAACAAAATATCTTGAAGAGTCTTAAAGGCATACTCTGGTATATTCCACAGTGAGCCATACAATGAGCACTATTTGTATTTTGGAGTTGTAAATGTGAAATTAACATAAAATCTGAATAGCAGACACATGTCACACAATATATAGAATGCCATTCAGAAAACTTTTCCACTTTAAATATCATTGTCTTTTAATGTCTTAACAATACAAAAAAAAAAATAACAACAACGACATGGCCCACTATCTTTAAAAGAACTTTATTATACCAGCTACATTTTTCCACTTTTTGTAATACACGTAAATGGCTATAGAGGTTGTTATTGTCCTCTGCAGTGTTTTTAAATGTATTTTGATAATTTGGCCAAAACCTTTACCAAAATGTAGTTATTTATGTTAAAAATGCAAGCTAAGGAACAGTTTAAGAACCTGATATTGGGTAAATGAAACACTGTAAACTATTTGACAAAATGTAGTGTCACCCTGGTATACAGTACACTGTTCATATTTTCTTAGTCTTGCTTAAAATGTCTTGTAGCAAATTAGTAGCATAGATAACACTATTCTATATGCAGTTTGTATAACTCAGAAATGTTTCATGCATAGACCACTGAAGGAGAATTTCTTTTCTCTCTATTCTTCTGCAAATTAATTCAAGAATATTCTTTTTTTTTTCATTTATATTTCCTTGCAAGTGTCCTGGACACTAAATCCCAAGGTCTTCATTATTTCAATGTTTGGAAAGAAGACTGCTTCCCTGAGTTGCCATGTCATCCATGTAAGAAAATAAATGGCCATGTGGAATCTACATTTTTCAAGATTTGCCTCCATGTAAGACTGCCTGATCCAGAATGAGAAAGGAGACATAACCACAGATATCAATATGACTTTTTAAGTGATAAAAAGATAACTCATACAATTCTAATCAACATATTTTTTAAACAGAGGAGGCGGATGCTTTTCTAATAAACTTTAAATTATGAAAACTGCAATAAGAAGTAGAAAATTTGGTAGAATAATTACCATTGAAAAACTCAAAAAAAGCTATTAAAGATCTATAATGGGAAAATGCTCCAGGCTCAGAAGAGTTCATGCTTAGTTCTATCTATCTTTTAAAGAAAGAGTAATACCAGTGTTATTTATTATATGGATATAATATAATCCATAAACTATACTCCTCATTTATTTTATTAAGTCAGAATAAGTTTTAACACCAAAATCAAATACAGATAGTTGAAAAAAAGAAAACTTCTGCCAGGTGCAGTGGCTCATGCCTGTAACCCCAGCACTTTGGAAGGCTGAGGCAGGTGGATCGTGAGGTCAGGAGTTCGAGACCAGCCTGGCCAAGATGGTGAAACCCCGTCTCTACTAAAAATACAACAATTAGCCAGGTGTGGTGTCACACGCCTGTAGTCCCAGCTACTTGGGAGGCTGAGGCAGGAGAATCGCTTGAACCCAGGAGGCAGAGGTTGCAGTGAGCCAAGATCGTGCCATCCAGCCTGGGCAACAAGAGCAAAACTCTGTCAAAAAAAAAAAGAAAAGAAAAAAGAAAACTTCAGACCAGTCTTACTCATGAATATAGAAACAAAAATTATAATTAAAATACTGGCAAATAGAATTCAGCCATATACCCAAAGAATGACATAGTAAGAGTCATCCCAAGAATGTCAAGCCAGTTCAGGAATAGAAAACACATCAATCAAATTAACAACTTAAAGAAGAAGAATCATATGAACTTTCAACAGATACTGAGAAGGCATTTCATGGAATGTGTTAATATGTAATAGATGGTAACCACTTAAAGAGGTTTTTCTTAAAAAAAAAAAAAAAAAATTAACCCAAACCCCAAAGCATGTATTATGCCAAAGCCATCTTTAAAAATCAGGAATTCAACATTGTCTTAGAGATTCCAGTGAAGGCAATAAAAAGAAATGAATTGGTATAAACAGCAGAAAAGGTGAAACTATCCATTTTTACTGGTGATATGGTTGTACACCAATAAATGAAAAGACTCTAATTATTTTCTGAGCTAACTTTTTAAGAAGGCAGGATACCAAAATCAAGAGCCTTTCTCCATACTGACAAGAAACACGTAATAATTTATATATACTTTTTTTGGAATTAGACTAAATCTCAATGATTTTTTTTTTGAGAATCGTTGAGAAAAAAATAGGAAAAAAGTCATACCATGTATCAAAACATCTCATGTACCCAATAAATATATATAACAATTATATATCCATAATAATTTAAAAAATTTTAAATGCCATGCTAGATACCAGAAGACAACATGAAGTCATTCTAATGAAATTAATATTGTATTGGCAAAGGAACAGGTAAATACATCATTAGAACACAGTAGAAAATTCAGAAATAGACTTTGATATATATGAACTTTCTCATATGTGAAAAAGGTTGAATCTCAAACCATGGGGAAAAGAGTAGTTTACTTAAAAAGAATTCTGGAACAAGAACCTTTTAATATTAAAGGAAGAAAATTTGGATTAACAGCACAAAAATAAATTCTGGGTGGATTTAAGACGTAACATTTTAAAGCAACAGAATTCTTAAAATCTAAGGAACCTACATGTACAATCTAGGAGTTGGGAGAGATTACCAACACAGGACACTCAGAAGCTATTTAGAAATAAGCGTTTGAAGGCTGAGCGTGGTGGCTTATGCCTGTAATCCCAACACTTTGGGAGGCTGAGGCAGGCGGATCAACTGAGGTTACGAGTTCAAGACTAGTCTTGTGAACATGGTGAAACCCCCATCTCCACTAAAAATACAAAAATTATCTGGGTGTGGTGGCACATGCCTGTAGTCCCAGCTACGTGGGAGGCTGAGGCAGGAGAATCACTTGAACCCAGAAGGCAGGGGTTGAAGTGAGCTAAGATTGCGCCACTGCACTCCAGCCTGGGCAACAGAGCAAGACTCCATCTCAAAAAAAAAGAAAAAAAGCAAAAGAAAAAAGGAAATAAACATTTGACTACATAAAAGGTACAATCTTTTGGGTGACAAAAGATGCCATCAACAAACTCAAGAGATAATAGACTGTGGGGAAATATTTGTAGAGCTGATCAGAGAGAAGGCAGTCACCAAATGGACAGGGAAAATCCCAATAGCAAAACGTGGCAAAGAATATGAGGCAACAATTGTGAGAAGAGCAAATCTAAGTGGCCGATGGACCTGTCCAAAAATGTTTATCCTCAGTAGTCATTGGGGGATGCAGATTTAAAGTTAAAATCAAATAACACTATGTGACAGCATTTTTAGCTATCAGAACAAAAGATGTTATACACTGCTGGTGGAGAAATAAATTTTGAAAAACAATGCAAGTTACTCTTTTGGAAAGAAATCTGGTAATATTTAGGCTGGGCGTGGTGGCTCAAGCCTGTAATCCTAGCATTTTGAGAGGCCGAGGCAGGCAGATTGCCTGAGGTCAGGAGTTCAAGAACAGCCTGGCCAGCATGGTGAAAACCCTTCTCTACTAAAAATACAAAAATTAGCCGGGCATGATGGCAGGCGCCTGTGATCCCAGCTACTCGGGAGGCTGAGGCAGGAGAATCACTTGAACCCGGGAGGCAGAGGTTGCAGTGAGCCGAGATTGTGCCATTGCACTCCAACCTGGGCAACAGAACACGATTCCATCTCAAAAACAAACAAACAAAAAAAAGAAATCTGTTAATATTATTAAATATTATTAAAATACTTATGTCACTTTGGGGAATCTTCCCTTAGAAATAAAAGCCCCAATACATAAAAGACAGATGAACATGTGAACATGGACGTTTATTGTAAAGTTGTTTCTAATGGCAAAATAAACACCCAAAACCAAAGCAAACACTAGAATCAAAGTAAATACCCATCAATTGGGAAATTGGAGAAAGGAAAGAACTATAGTATATCCATTCCATAGAATGTTAATATAGCCACAAATTAAAACTATGCTAGTGGACTTGAGTGGAATTCCACAATGTTCTCCTGAGTGAAAAATGCAAAGTAGATATTAAGTGTGTTAAATATGACTCCATTTTTGTAAATCATTAACAAAATGTCTCTAGGTGTTTGTCAGCAATAAGCGGTATCTATATATGTTTATTTGATTTTATGTGCATGAAGAAAAGTGTAGAAGAGTATGCATTGACTTGGAGGGAGGTGGGTAATGCAGGTAGGATATGGGGGAGTCAGGGGTGTAGGGAAAAGGAAAACCAAAAAAGAAAAATTGTTTGTGATACCACAAATGTGTGAGTTAGTAAATTTGGCTGGGGATGGGGGAGCTAGAATTTTGCTAATTTGTGGGGATGTTCATGGTATATATTGTTAAGTGAAAAGGGAAAATTTCATAATAATGTATACAATTCTATTTTTTAAAAAAGTGAAAACTCCTGTGTGTGTATATATGCATGTGGATGTTTATATGAACATAGAAACATGTAGAAAAATACACACGAAGGTGTTAACATTCATTGGTTACCTTGGTGGAGAAGGGTAATAAGTTGTCTAAATACCTTTGCATTGTCTTGTTCACATATATTGCTTTTGTAATTTGAAAAACATAAAATAAAGGGGGAAAACATTTCAAACCAAACGAAGCCTTGAAA